ATTTACATTTACTGAAGCTGAGTGAAGTGAGCAGAACTGGGAGAACATTGTGCATAGTAACAGCAGCATTGTGTGATGATCAACTATGCTAGACTTAGCTCTTCTCAGCAACACAGTGATCCAAGACAACTCTAAAAGACTCATGATGGAAAATGCTAAGCATGTCCAGAGAAAGATCTATGGATACTGAATGCAGATTGAAGTGTACTATTTTCACTTTTTTTTGTTTTTTCTTTCTTATGGTTTTTCCTTTTTCTAATGAGTCTTCTTTTACAACATGACTAATGTGGAAATGTATTTAACATGTTGGTACATGTATAACCTATATCAGATTGTTTGCTATCCTGGGAAAGGTGGAAGGGAAGGGAGGAAGAAAAATTTGTAACTCAACGTCTTATAAAAATGAATGTTGAAATCTATATTTACATGTAATTGGAAAAAATAAAATACTATTAAATGGGGGGAAAAACGCAAAGATCCTAGAGTGGTTTGACATTTCCTCCTTCAGCTCACTTCACAGATAAGGAACTTAGGCAAACAGGGTTAAGTGATTTGCCCAGGATCACTGAGCTAGTAAAAGTCTGAGGCCAGATTTAAACTCAGAAAGATGAGTCTTTCATACTCCAAGCCCATCGCGTTATCCTCTGCACCACCTTGTGAGTCTGGTGAAATATGCAGTGGATTAAAGCACAAAGAGTGTTGTCTACTGCCTCTGTGACTCTGGAAAACCTACCTAAGCTATTTGAAATTCATCTTACTTCTCTGTAAAATGGCTTTTCCTGCCTTGTCTTGTTGGCCCAGTTGTGAGAGTCTAATAAGATCATATTTAGAACCACTTGGTAAAGAACTGGGCAGTTATGAGGTATTATTCCAGGAGACAATTTTCTTTCTGCCCTTTCCCTGTAAAATTGTGTCGTTTTCTCCTCCTATTTTCTTTCTAAGTCCGAGACTCTCTTCTAAAGCTTCCATTCCTATGGAACAAAGCAGTTACGTGGCTTGTTTGGTTATTGATGGAAATGGCCCTAGAGTCAAGCACTACTGTTCAAAATGCTCTTTAATATTGTCAGTTTTCAGAGGGGCAAATGTTCCAAATGAAACATCAGGACTTCTATTAAATTTTAAAAATGAACAACTATTTCCACAAATTGTTAACTAACTATATGAAAGATAACTGTTATTAAGGCATCTATTTGTTCTCATTTCCAATTCCTAAAGCATGGGGATCCATTATACATTGTTATCTCTCCTCTAGACCTGCCTACATGTGGCAGGCGTTTAGGAATGAGAGGAACGTGATAGAAATAGTATCTCATCTTTGGGGAAGGATTCCTTGCTATATTTTGCCTTTGACAGTGGGACCAAGGCACTGTGAGCAGACCTTTTTTTGGTCTTGAGGTCTGAGTTAAGAGACTTAAGAAGTATAAATGACATACAGTAGATGGCATGGAAGTTAGCCTGAGTGTAGTGGTACAGAAGGCTAGACAATGGTTGCAGTTAGTAGGTGTCTGGAGCAAGATATGATAGGGGAGATTGAATTAAGAATATGAGACTGAGCATATTTGGGAAAATCCCTCTCCCATCAGCTGGGATGGAGAAAGAAAAAGCCATCAAGGGCAGAGTCCGGAGGCCCTTGATGCCCCCAGATGGTGACCAAGAGCTCCCTAAATGTCATAGCATACAAGTGTGTCAAGGACTCTACTTGTGGTGAGATTATAATAACTGGTGATGACACTTGCCACATCTGGAATGCTAAGTTAGGGACTTCATGGAGGAACAGAAAGAAGAAAACTTTGATCTCAAGTGTTGTCCATGGTAGTACAGTAACACAATATGCAAAAGACAATGTTTGCCTTGTACTGACTGAGTACTTTATTAGCTTTCCAGTTAAATAAGAATGGAGTTAAAGGAATTTTATTTTTAAATCTCTGTGACACAGCTGGCCACATGACTGTTAAAGAACATCTTGATGTTTGATGAAGAAGTTTTATTGATGAGTAACAGGACAGATCCTAAAATGATGGATGTATAATTTGCTTTGGGTCAGCTTCCATGCATAAAAAAAGGCCACATTTTCGAAAACAACATATTCTAATGTGCACAGCCTAGCTCAGAGGTAATGGAGTGTTGCATGCTCACTTTAGGAAGGAAAAGTGAGACAGAGAGAAGCATACAGATAATTTCCAAAGTATTTTATACTTAAGTCCAGTTTATTGTTTAAAATATACTTTTAGCATAGAAATAAAAGTGGACATGGGAAAGGACAAGGAAAGGAATGTTTTGAAGATTTTTCAAACCTACCACCAATCCATTGGTATATATGTCTCACATGTTTCAATTTTGTAGAAACAGTTCTCCTTTCTGTGTGGGTGTGGAAATAACTATTAGAGAGGTGATACAAATAGATTTACCTGAAAATGGACGATTATTTTTTTTCACATTTTCCCTCCTGTTCAAGACTTGAGGGAGGCTGCCAGGCTGGCTTACACTCTAGGAGAAGAGGTAAAATACACACTACAACATAAAAGAGAATTTACAAAATGTGTTTATTTCAAAAGAACAGAATATAGAGAATAGTACGTTATTGATACTACTATTTGATTATTTGCAACTTATTTCATATTTAGGAAATTTTCCAATAGTTTTGAGGCAATGAGGTGGCAGAATGGATAAACCATAGGTCCTGAAGTGAGGAAGACCTGCATCGAGACCCAGCCTCAGATACTTTCTTGTTGTGTGAGCCTTGGCAAGTCACTTAACCTCTTTCTTTCTGCCTTGGTGTCCTCAGGTGTAAAATGGGGATAATAATACCTATCTCCCAGAAGTATTATGATGATAAAATGAGATAATATCTGTAAAGCACTCTGCAAAGTTTAAAGTGCTATGTAAATGCTAGCTGCTGCTATTCCCTTTATTTTGGGTACCAAACATCAATGAAAATGCTACAAAGACAAAAAAAATAAGTTATTTGAAGAGAGAAGCAAAAAAAAATGCAAAGTTTAGTCTTTTCCAACTCTAAATCTATTTTCTTATCAAATACCTAAGCATTGATGAGGAAAAAGGCTAGTTTAATCCCTTCATAGAATACACAAAGAATTGATGCCTTTTGATTTTATATCACTGACAATTCTGTTATATCCCTTTTTATTACACCTCATCTTTCAGCCCAGAATTAGACCCTTCCTGGTAAACAAAGAAAAATGATTAAATATACAAAAAAACCATCGATACAGTAATTACATTTGACATTATAGTCTCCATTCTACCTTCACATAGCTTCTCACCTCTTTGTTAAGAATGGAGAATTATGTTTCATTATATGTTCTTTGGAACTATTTTTTATTTTTTGATTATTCAGAGTTTAGTTTCCATTCAGTGACTTTTTCGTTTACATTGTTCAATCATTGTATACGGTTTTTTTTTCTGGCTCTGCTATTTCACTATGTATCAGTTCATACAAATCTTCCTAAGTTTGTAAATTCCTCATATTCATCATTTCTTACTAAATAATATTCCACTTAATTTAGGTAAAATGTTCCCCCCTCCTCATCCTTCCCTAGTTAATGGATACCCACTTTGTTTCCAGTTCTTTGCTACATTAAGAAAGCTGTTATAAATATTTTGGTATATATTGAATCTCTGCTTCTGTCTTTGGCCTCCTTGGGTCAACTTCTCTCATTTTATAACTGACAGTTGTATAGAAATGTTACATTGTCAATAAATGCTACCTACTTCTGATATTAACTTGAAAACGTCTGAGTGTATGAGCAGCAAATGTCTCAGGATTATTGCCAATTGAATGCAGTTTTCTATAAATTTGACAAACAAATCTATTATGCTTCTTGAATTGCCCATCAGAGATTCTAGTTTACCTTTAATTTTCAATCCATATTAGTTTGGAATTCTATGCAAAAACTTTCTCAGTTTCATATTTCTACTTTTTCAGAAAATAAATTCATTGCTGAAGAATCATTCCTCAAGACTGTGCCACTCACAATGAGCTTTATTGCTTTCCGAAACCAAGGGTAAAAGAATGCATAGATCAAGGGATTCATAGCAGAATTATAATAAACACACCACAGTAAGATCTCATAGACATAAGGGGGAGTTATGAAATTCATATAAGCATCAATTAGTGAATCAATGAAATATGGCAGCCAAGAGACAAGAAATACAGCCACAGCAATCCCTAGTGTTTTAGCAGCCTTTCTTTCTCGTTTGGCCACTCTGTCCTTATAGCTCTCTGCAGAGGCCTGGGTTTGGTTGATGGTACTTTCTATCTTTCTAGCCTGGTGTTTAGCCACCAAAAAAATTTTGCCATATAAAATGAGCATGGCAATTGTTGGTATAAAGAACAAAAGAAATCCAAAGAGAACCCAGTCTTGATTCACTGGAGCCTGGCAACCTCCCACACAAGTGAGAGCAATTACCATATCCTCCAACCCGTCATCATTGACCCCTGTGTAAAAGAGAGAAAAGCTATATGTTACTGAACAGCCCCAGGACACAACAATACATATCCCTGAAATGGGCACTGTGAACTTAGTTGGATAGACCAGAGGGTCAGTGACAGCAATATATCTATCAATGGAGATGAAACATAAGTGGAAGAGAGAAGCATAGCAAAATGACCCATCAAAACACGTGTGAAATTTACAGTAACTCTCCCCAAAATACCAGCAGCTTTCCACAGATCTCACCATGCTGAAGGGCATCACAGTGAGTCCAACCAGAAAGTCAGCACAGGCCAAGGAGGCAATGAGGAAGTTTGTAGGTGTGTGCAGCTGCTTGAAGTGAAGGATGGCGATGATGACCAGCAAATTGCCAAATACTGCCAGCACGGCCCCAAAACCAAAGACCACGTAGAGAATCATTCGAGGAATGGGAGAATAGGGGGTTTTGATGCAGGATCTATTCACATTCTCAAAACAGAGCTGCACAGCAGCAAGTTGGTAAGAATTGTTGATCCTCATTTCCTGGTGTGAATCTTCCAGTAATTCCATATTTCTTGAAGGTTATTAAAATTTCAAATTTGGGGGAGAGAAAGAATTTGTAGTCAATCTAGAAGTATTACAGTCAGTATATACATTCACTACAAAAACATTGCAAAATAACCCCCAAGTCCTTCATTAGTCGGATTGATAAAATTTGTCTTGTCATTTCCACATATACCAGAATTTAGTACATGATTAAGAATTTGTTTTAATTGGATATGCCATTTGAAAGATTGTCTTTAGCTATTTACCTTCTGAACTGCTCCTTTAGTCCAACAGTCAAGACTTGGTACTTTCTCAGACTCCTAATGACATGTATGTTGCCTGGCATGTTAGAAAACCAAGAAATGCTGATCAGTTTGTTGACTGAGGAAGTTGCCAAAGAATTGCTTTTATTAGGTTATAATTCCCTGAGGAGGTATAGGAGAGCTAATCATGAAATATACTCTCAAGAAGTAAGAGAATGTTAGTATCCCCCAAACTTTTATAATGAAATCCCCAAGGTGTGATGTGTGAACTGAACTACAATAATATGTTTAGATACCTTAATAATGTTGATATGCAGCATGGAAAAGTGGGTAAAGAACCTGCCGTAAGTTAAGGGAGACCTGATTCAATTCTGTTTCTGACATCTAATAGCTGTATGACAATGGAGAAGACCCTTAACCTTTCAGGGCCACAGACAACCCTCTAGGACCACAAATTACAGAACTGTTGCATCTGAAGTCTATAGTCTTATATGGTTAGGATATGAAAGTCTAGGAAAGGAACCCTTGTCCTAGATACAAACTCTGGGAAGATAGCCCTCTGCTTGAGTATGTTTGTCAGATATACTACATGGCTACTTCTGCAGATCTGGGGTTCTCCAGCCACCAAATGTAACCTTGTTTCTATGGCTAGAAAGGATTATTTTTCCTTTGCTAGTGGCACCTGTAGATATTCATCATCCTTATTTGAAATGTAGAAAGATCCTTTTTCAGAGACTACGACTCTACTGTCTATGGAAAGGGCTTTAAATCTATTAAGGTTCCATGGTCCCTTCCCCCTTAATTTCTGTACTATATTTTTTGACCTTCCAAATTCCTGACTCAGGCTTGAATTTCTCTTTGCTTCCCCCGACTCTTCTTCCTCGTGATTTAGAGCCTTATACAGCCTGGATCCAATCTGCCTTTCCAGGCTTATTATAAATTATTCACCTTTATGCATTTGATGGTTCTCTGAACTGGCTTTGCTATTCTTCACAAACATCTTTCCATCTCCTGTCTTTATGTCTCTGCACACATTATCTCCTGTACCAGAAATGCACTGACCTTATCTCCAGCTCTTAGAATAACTTATTTCCTTCAAAACTCTGCTCAAGAGCCTTGTGTCCTCTCCCCTGCAAAAAAAAAAAAATCCATTTGTATTTATTTAATATATATTTCATATACTCTTATTTATGTACATATTATCTCTTCCTAAAAAATATAAGATTCCTGAGGACTGAGGACTCTTATTTTTGTCTTTTTATCCCCAGGTGCTAGTTTGGTGCAAATAGTAGGGGTTGATTGATTAGAAGCTCTTCATTTTCTCTAGCGGATAAGTGAGTTTTGAAGAATTCCTTCAGCCTTCTCATTTTTTCAGATTAACCTGCGTTTTGTGCATGCGCATTTATAGAGTGTGGGTATCCAGGCATTGTAACGGATCCCCCTTGTAGTCCAGTGATGAGAGATTTATTCTGCTATTAAAGATGTTTCGCTACATAAGGAGAATTCATTGGGAGTGAACTCAGGTCCCTGGGGTTTGGGAGAAACCTATGCATCCTCATAGTACCCTACTCCCATTCACATGAGAATCTTGGGCCCTGGAGATAGCAGCAGTGGAGTGGTCCAGGTGGCTGAAAGAGGAAAGTTCCTGGAGGCAGAACCAACAACCAGTAGAATTCTAGGGGGAAAAAAAAAGAATTCTAGGCCACAGTATCCTGAATACCAACAGAAAATTCCTAGAAAACACCAATTTCCTGGACCAAATCTCCTGAAGAGGAGGACTTCCTTCAGCACTTCTTAAACTGTGGGTCCTGATCTCATACGGGGTCACAAAAAATTTGGCAACACTAAAGATTTCTGAATGTGCAAAGACCAAAAGCTAATTAAAAATCAAACACATATTGCATCTGAGGTGTTTCTGGCAGCGCTTGCCTGTGTTGCATTCTTGCAACTTCACTGCAGCCTTAGTTCTGAACACAAAGCACGTGGCACTTTGCACTGTGCATGCCCTCTGGCCATGCAACACCAGTGAACTAGAAGCCCTGTGCTAGATAATGCTTAGTGCCTGGCCCAAGGTAGGAGTTTTAGGACAAGCAAGAAACAAAGCTACAGAGCAGCAAGGGATAAAGCTATGATGTGGAGGAGCAATCCTAATCCTTGTCCTCCCATAGTACTGTGACTTATTCAGGCCCTGCAGTTGTAGGATAAAGGAATCAACTCTAATGATTTCAAGTGTTTCTCTGAATATGTGTGTTTCTGTATGTGTTTGTATTTCTGTTGACCCAATTAAGGCAGTACTTTAGGTAGGAGGGCTATGTAGGTCCTAAAGGAGGTGGCGTTCTATTGGCTTTAAGTGTTTTCTCTTTTATGGGAAGCTCAATGCAGGTCATACTATAAAATGGCATTGAGTACCTAGGTTCTCTGGAAGGTAAAGTTCCCAGGAGACAGAAAGGTTGACTCTTTAGTAAACTCAAGTCCTTGCTTTCTGCTTCAAGAGATTGGAGGAAAGAGGGTCTCAAAAACAAACAAACACTAGGGGTAAGTCTTTCCTTCCAGGGACGTATTATAAAGTTGCTTCTAGGGAAGCTGGATTGACATGAGGATTAAGCTCTACCCATACCCAACATTACCCCAGAATTTTTCTGCCATAAAATCACCTTCTATTAAATCTTCTTCTTCTCTCCAGGAGGTTTGATCAAGGAATTCTTGTGCTTACTGGTTTTTGCTCAGGGCCTCCTCCACCTCTCTGCCACTGCCATCCCACTTCTTCCAGGATGTTCATTGTAGGGACCTGACTGTAGTAATGTCTCTCTACCTCTCCTCTCTCTCCATCTTTGGTTTTGCTTTTAAAGGCCAAGTTTTAATTGGAGCTCGATTTTATAACTAATCATAACATATAGTAATCCTCAAAAGTGGTATTAATGGAGATTTTTACACCATAAATTTACATTGTAATAATGTAATAATGAGGAGGCAGCTAAGTGGCTAAGTGGTTCAGTGGATTGAGTGCTGGACACAGAGTTAGCAAGACCACCTAAGGTCAGATCTGACGTCGGACATGTAACACTCACTAGCTGTGTGATGCTGGGCAAGTCACTTAACCTTTGCTTGCCTTAGTCCACTGGAGAAGGAAATGAAAGTAAAACCCCATTGTCCATGGGGTCTTGAAGAGTTGGACATGGCAACAACAAGGTAATAATGTCTCCATTATTTGTATTTATATATTTATTTATATTCATATATTTAAATCTTCATTATTTATATATTTACACATATTTACATGTGTAGAGAAACATGCTCCACACTAGTACTACAACTTTGTCAGAAGTAGCAATGAGTAATATATACCACCTACAGAGCTTTATAAGATATTTTTAAAATATAGGGTGTTTTGGCCAGAAATACCTTGTATTCCCTTTCCCCAGATAACCTAACCCTCCCCCCTGCCATTCCATGTTAAGAATCTTCTTCCCACTCAGCCACCAAATTTGGTATCCTATTTAGAGTTTGATTTTAATTTTGAATACATGGTTCAAACACAGACTCCAATATGATGAAACCCCGGTAGTATTTGTCTTGGGTAAAAATTTTTATGACTCATTAGATTTGTATTCATTTTGAATGTCCATAATTTTTGTTGTCCATTGTAGTCAAATAAGGGAGAAAGAAACTTCAAGATGAGGCCTAGGAGTCCCCAGACAAGATACCCCTCTCAGTTATCTCAGGATGATTATGGTAATACCTAAAATAAGGACTAGGGCTACTTCTTTACTTTCATGAGCTCCTACTACTGTGTTCAGTAAATAATAGGTGCTAGAGGTTTTGACTAATTCACTTAGCCTGACACTGTTCCATTCAGCTTCTATGCCTGTACATGTTTCACTGTGTAGGTGTGTAACAGAAGGTTTCTGGGAGCCTTCTGAATCATAATCAGAAATAGACATCTTTGCATTTGAATTTTCCCTTATTAGTACTAATAATAATTTGGTTTCAAAGTGAAATACCTTGTATTTACATAATTCTGAAGCTATGTGTAATGGAAAGAACATTGGATTTGGGGTCAAAAGATGTGGACTTATCCACCAGCTTTGTCAGTAAACACCCATATAACTGGGCAAATCACCCTGCCTCTCTGGGCCTCAGTTTTCTAATCTGCAAAAGTGAGAAGATAATTTTTTTTTTAGCTAGGCAATGGGGTTAAGTGACTTGCCCACGGTCACACAGCTAGTGAGTGTTACATGTCTGAGGTCGGATTTGAACTCCGGTTCTCCTGACTCCAGGGCCAGCACTCTATCCACTACCACCTAGCTGCCCCAAAAAACATAAATTCTTGTCTGACCTAATTGATTAGGTTGTTTGGAGTATCAAATGAGATAATTTATGTAAATAGCCTCAAAAAAACCCACAAAGTACTATATAAATATCAACTATTAATATTAATTTTAAAGCCTTTTTACACCTATTATATTTTTATCTTTACTAAAACTGTCATAGATAAAGACATTCTTAGTCCCATTTTCCAGTAGAGGAAACAGAAGCACAGAGAGTTTAGTTAATTTACTTAAGATCACACAGTTACATAGTAGCAAGACCGAGATGTGTACTCCTATCTGCTATCTCAGTGCTCTTTCTATGACATCGTGTTTCCAGATGGGTTTGTTTGCTTATTTTAAATCATGTCTCCCAGCTTGAGCTCCCTAAATTTTAAATTTCTCTGAATTCCACCTCCCTCTTTGCTTCCTGTTAGGGTATTTGTGATTGTAA